CAGTCCTCCGGGACTTGGCCCGTGCGCCACGAGCTTTCAAATATTCCCGCCAGTGGCTCTGCAATGATGTCGGCCAGTGCCTTCAGCACCCTCGGATGGAGCTCATCTGGGCCTGCCAACTTAAAGGCATCCAGTTCTTCCAAATGACTCTGCACCATCTCAGGGTCTATGCATGGTAGTCTGGCGCCTTGCTGCTGCCTCTCTACAAGCCCAGTGAGAGACTTGTCGTGCCCCTCATGGAGCTGTATATACAGAGAAACTACATGGTTTAGAAGCTAAATTGTTTCTTGATAGAGCTTTGATAAATTTTTCCATTAGGTATTAATCAGTTTTGAAAATTTATAGAAAAATTGATTAGAATAACATTCCATAGCAATACAGCTATTTATCTTGGAGCCCAACTTTTTAGGCTAAGTATACTTTAGAAGTCAGGATTTTATTACAAAATGGTGTAATTCATTTTTCCTGTCCCTGGTTCTCATCTTGACTGCTTAGCTAACCTCAGGCAGGTCATTCAGGGACAAATTGTGAAAAGTGGTGGCCTGAGGCTTGTGCAGAAAAATGTAAATGTAAATAAATACTTAGGGTTTCATATGCATGCAGTAACTATGTGTGCGAATATCGATGCTAACTATAGGCCTGGGGCTTGCTGGCCTCAGGGTTTACAAATATGTAATGTGTTTTGCTGGAGTTCTCTCATCTCGAAAGTGAAGGTAATACCTTATGGTTATGTGGAAGGGTGAATTAGAGTTTGTGAAGGGTTTCTTGCCACTATATGGGAGTGCCACATGGTTTAGTTTTCCTGAATGATTATTTGTAAATGATCATTGGTTTATATTATGTTAAATCAGTTTGTGTTTGTTTAAAATGTCACAAAGTCACCTTTTGCTTTCTTTTCTGTACTGTTTCATGTTCTCTTCTATCCTCAGCCTTCCTCCAATTCCCATGATAAGCAGCAGCACACCTGGAGCCTGAAGGTGACACCTGTAGATTACCTGCTCGGAGTGGCTGATCTAACAGGAGAGCTGATGCGGTTGTGTATCAGCAGCGTTGGAAATGGTGATATCGACACCCCTTTTGAACTGAGCCAGTTTTTACGTCAGATTTATGATGGCTTTACCTACATTGGCAATACTGGACCCTACGAAGTCTCTAAGAAGCTCTATACCTTGAAACAGAGTCTAGCCAAAGTAGAGAATGCTTGTTATACGTTAAAAGTGAGGGGCTCAGAAATCCCAAAGCACATGTTGGCTGATGTTTTCTCCACCAAAGCTGATATGATGGACCGAGAAGAGGGTCTTTCCTAAAATAGCAAGACTGTCACAGCCCTTAAGGTGATTGAACTGTAGAGGTGGAAACTTGTTAATATTTAGGTTTTGTTCTCAGTAGACTTTGTCATGGCTTTTATGTAGTAACATTTTATCTAACAAGTAAGATTGTTTGCAATGGTAAATTTGTAACCAAAAAAAAATTCTTTACATGATGTACAGGTGAACAAGTGTTTTCTGTCAGTGAGAAATTTCCTCTCTTCCCCTTCTCTGTGTTGTCAAAAATAGCCAAATGTCACTGCTGTTCTCACTGTCCTGTGTCTTTCACAGATACAAATTAATTCCATGCTGTCTTGGCCATTGCAGCTGATTGTCAGTGGTCAAGTGGTGCTTCGAGTAGATTGAGAATTGCCTTGTGATGCCACATAACCCCCGGATTCCTGTTGCACCACATTCCTCGATAAACACTTTTTTGTGTTCAGGTCAGAGATAAAGTAGTGCAGCCAAGTTAGAACGAAGATGCACAGGTTTGAAAAGTAGCAGCTTTCTGCTTGAATCAAGAGGGAACGAACCCAGACTCGGAAGGTCTTACTAGGCCCATTGGAGCATCCTTGTCTGATACCGTCTCACCAGCTTATCCCATTTATATTTAACACAATTTTTTATCTCCTTGGACATAAAATTGAAGCATGGCCAAAAGTGCTCTGTGACCTAGTTTTGTCTGATTAACATTCACAGCTAAAACAGTTTTTGATAGCTGATCAAAAAACTGGCAGACCAGGTAAATGTCCCTGCATACCCACCATTCCAGAACTCGCAGCTTTATTTCATCTCTGCTAGTTCAGTTACTTTGGAACCGTAATGTTTTGGCATCAATTAAAAAAAGTACAGGAGTTCATCGTTGTTCTTTTTCCAAACAAAAGCTTTAGTGAGTGCAGGATCTGCTAGATTGCCGGCTATATCAGTTCCTTTACAATACTGAACAAAGATGCTTATCATGGATAATTCAATGCTAGAATATAATGTGCATTCCTGGGTGCTAGCTGCATGCTTGTATCCAAAGAAGATACAAAGCTCAAGACAGTAGGGATAATTTTGCCTTCTACTGTATTTATGGTGCCCTGAGGGACACCAGTAGGATTGAATTGCGTATCTGAAAGAAGAAGTTGGATAATTATATTTAACAGAGTGGTGCAATATGTCAGAAATGAGTCTTGTGCACCTATGAGACAGAAATTAGAGGGGGAGGGATAAAAATAAGGCAGATAAAATAACATGCCCTTTAAAAAATTGAGCTTCAGGAAATAAGCCCCTCAAGTACTAATGAAAATGTTGCTTGGTTTGTTTTTTTTTATTTCCACCTCCATATGCTGTGATACTGCCAATATTTTTCTCATGAGCATGGCATGTCCAAGGTAATTTGAATCATGGATGTATTGATCAGAACAGTTACTTAGGGTTTATCACAGTTTTTTGTTTCTCTGTAAAGCAATGTTTGGTGGGTTAAAAAAGAGTGTGTTTTCCAAATGTTTAATACTTTTTTTACAATAAAAGTAATTATATTGATATCCCTGAATGAGTATTACTTCTTTTATCCATCAGTCCTATTTGAGAACATGTGACTAGTATAGTGTGTCCCTCTTTCTTATATCCACTCTTATAATTCAGTATTCTACTCAAAGCTCTGACCTGACCCCCTTACCTGTACATTATAAGTGGCATCCCCCGCCTAGGATCCCTTTTGTTTCTTATCCAGTTCATTAAATAGGCTACATTTTGGTCTAGTGCATAATTAAATGTGGGGCACTCACATAACCTGGCTTGGTTATCCCTAGGATGAATAGCACCAACTGTTTCAAATATCTGTTCACTTTTCCTCTTGGTTTGGGTTGCTTGTTGCTATATAGGACCCAATTTTCAGGCATATTGGCATCTAGAGTTTATGATGAAGTAGATGAGGATATGGTACTACACATTTTTTGGGGGGTGAATTTACGGAAAGTTTTCTGCATGGAAAATGTGCTTGTCTGAAGCAGACATTGATAATGGCTAGCGAGACTGTGATATATTAGAGGTCTCTTCTGTATGTGCTGGCAACTATCAGGTGGGAGTTAATTCCATGTCACATCTTAAAAGAAGACAATGAAATTAATCCTAGGGTCCTGGCAATGTTTCCCCCTTTCAGTAAAAAAAAGTTCTAAAGCCCAAGCTGCCGCTTTAGCTAAATGAGCACGTAATGGCTATCGTACTTGTCAAAACAGCTACTGCACTAGTACTGTCCGTCTCTCCATGGCTTTTGCCTTGAATATGAAAGGAGCAATTCTTTCCTTCCGAAAGTCTCTGAGGACTATTTGAGTTCGTGCCAAAAATATATTGGCTTTAACAATTTGAAGATCGGAATAAACTGTCTCTGAGGCTACAGAAAATATGTATTTTTTTGCAAATCACTTCAGACGTGATTTTTAAGCCTCTTAAGGTCCTCCTGCCCAGAAAGTCAAAGCCACAAGTAATTTCCCGTCAAGAACAAAATGTGTGTGGTATATTAAAGCACTATGACAGATGGGAAATAGCTAATGGCCTGCAAACCTCATGCTCAAGGAAATATTTTCCCCCTAAAACAATTACACTGTAGTTCTTTCAAAAGTGACAGACATTTATCAGCAAAACAAGCTGCTAAACAAGCAGTGGCAATTTTCCCATTCCTTATCCCGTTCCTAAGTATGGAGCCATTGATATACTTGGGATGGAGCCAGAATAAAGCGACGTCATAGCAGATGTTTCATGAAGGGCTGCTTTGCGTGCTAGAAATCATCTGCCTTTTTAAAATCCTCTTTTAAGAAATGAATTTTCTTTTTGGGTTCACATTTATATAGAGTCTAGTAACTTGCACTGAGGGGGCAAATAGACTCAACCATATTTAGCTTTCCCTTACCAGAGAAGTTACGCAAGAGAACAGCTTCCTGTTGACAGACCACATAAGTTGTTTCTACTTATAGTCTAATCCACCAAAATCAAACCTGTATTGTTTCAAATGGGTATGTATTGAGTACCCAAAATACATATAGTGCTTTGTAGACTACAGGGCAAATAGTTGGTTTTTGTCTAAAAGTTTTACAATCTAAGATTAGACAAAACAGAGCCAGGAAGGCAAGTAGAAGGAAGGAGATGGAGAGGAAGGTTTATATGGAACATATGATTTCTTAGTTGAAAGCAAAAACTTAAAGTTTCTAAACATTCAAACCATTATGATAACTTGTTGTCAGGGTTGGGAAAAGACAGTTGAAAGGAGTCCAAGAGATAGGAGATAGGAGGAAGAGAGGTGTGCGGAAGGGAAGTGAACTGAAGTAGTAAGAGGAGGTGGTAGTTTGCAGGGACAAGTGGCCAAGGGTTTCAAGGTACCTGGGAAGACTGGAGTGAGATGCAAGATAGGCTTGGTTGATCAATGCAAGATTGCCTGGTTGAGGTGTAACTAAGTGAAGCTGGGATCAGTAGGAATGGCTTGCAGAAAGTTAAAAATGCCACTTGAAACCACTTGACAACTCAAGAAATAGAGATTTTTATGGGGTCAAGTGAAGTTGCATGACAAAAGAATAGAGGCTCCCCTCTCCCCCACTTCTTCCACATGAATGCCTGAAGTGTGGCCCTAAAATGGGGAGAGTGACTTCCTGAGATGCTGAGAGCCTGCAGCTTCCATGGAAGTCAGCAGGAGTTATCAATGTGGAGCAGGGCTTTACAGGATTGCACCTCCTCTGTCTCTTCTAGTTTGGCAGTCAGTTTTTGATGTGAACCTCAGACATGTCTAATCTTTTTAGAAACCAGCATTTAATATAAAAATACTTACAGTTACTAGGGCTTTCCCGTTCTTGTTGTGTCTGCCTGTCTGTTTCCCCCTCGCTTCTCCTCTCCCATTTTAGATTCTTCTTTTTCCTTGCTGGTTCTTTTCCCAGTCACTGGCCAGCTGGCGGGAAGGAGTTGCACAATGCTCCTGAGCCAACTGCTGTGACAGACCTGTGATTCAGTTGTTTACAGTTTTAGGAGACGTCCTAGGTGAAACGTGTCAGTGCAAGAGCCTTTATCTCTTGGACTCGGAATAAAGGTTAGTTTAGCTCAGTGCTCCATTTTGAGAGAGAACTCTTGTTTCTGGCAGGACGGGTCTGGTCTCCTCCTCAGTAGGCCTGCTTGCATGCTTCCTACACTGACCGTTTTGCCATGTGGCAGTGAGTAGACAGAGCTCAGGCTGATAAAGCAGGTAAATAACACTTGGTTATTTTTTGGGTTGTATTCTTTGCAAGCCAAAACAAATTGTTTGGCAAACATGGGAGATGTTTCTTTTTTAGTTTAGAGTGAGCGTATGTGGGAAATGCCTTTCAGATTGTCCTCTCCCATCCGTTTCCCCTTGTTACCCGATTCACCTTTACTTTTCAAGGCCTGTTCGCAGAACCTGGCGGAGGAGGATCGCTTGCATCTTCTGCTAGAGTTAGTCAGTGCTGCCCTGAACACTGGCCAGAAGTGATGTGATGTCTCCTCTCTGCCGTTCTGGTACTCCTATGCTCACCTTCACCTGAGATCTGAACTCTGAGCCCTTGCTAGTCCTTTTCCAAGGCTAGCTACTAATACGCTTTTATGGAATTTTTTTCTTAACCTCATGTGGTTTCCCTTTTACTTTCACGCTCTTCCCTCATCATTTAAATAAGGAGGCTTCTGTTAGGTAGATTCTGTCTTTGATTGGCAAACAGTCAGACTACTTCTCAAGCCTCCTGCATGTTGTCCTTCTGGTGACAATGCCTGCCTGGTCAGACCGTACTTCCATTTATTCACTTCTGTAGTTCTCTGTTGTTCTTTCCACACTTCCCTGGAGAAATGGGCAGGCCCTTTCTGTTCCCATTCAATCCTTCCTCAAGACCTATTGCTACCATGATAGCAGAGGAACTTGTTAGCTGGAAATCTTAGTATTCTCATGTCCTGTCTGAAGATTGTTGATGACAAGTATTTAACAGATTTTGTAGATTCGTTAGCTGGTAGTGAACAGGCATGTGTTCAGCTTGGGAGAGGCGATGCATTTTAAAAACTCTAAACCAAGTCCCATGGTTTGTACATTGTGCTTCTTTCCCCTCTCTTTCCTCTTGGTTTCCTGTGTCCATGTAAGTTCATGGGGGCAGGGGCCAAGTGTTTGGCTGATACTTGTGGTTGTGTGAGCTGGATCTTCTATACTGTAGGCCAGTGATTCTCAACCAGGAGATCCTTTCAAGGGTACTGCGGCACACCGTACTATGTTAACACTGTTAGGTATGCAAACTTATTCACAAGATAACCCAGAGGATTCACACAGTAATAGTTAAATGCTGGCACTATTCTTTTTAGAAATTGTGATTTTAATTTTTTCCCTCCCCTGCTGAAAGCATTTGGTAGGTGTGTCCTGGTGTAAAAACAGATGTCACCAAATGACGCAGATCAGGCAAGTCCCACTATAGCTGATCCATTTTAAAGGGCAAAGCACATGTTGCCAGTTGTCTTTCATCAGACAGGGGCCCAATGCGAGACAACAGACAATGTGCTCCCTTTGCCTGGGAATTCTCTGTGTCCCTCGATGCCCTGTGCCTCCCTGCCAGGATCCGCACTGGGTCCCGTCCCAACTCATGTCTCCATGTGAAGAATGGATCAGCTTGGGACCTGGCAAGGAGCCCATCTTGGAGGCAGAGGGCTGTGTGGGTCCTGGTGTGGAAGCATGGGGCACCAGGGATTCCCTTGGTCCCATGCCTCCATGCCAGGACCTACATGGGCTCTCTGGTTACAGAAAGGCACCCTGAGATTCCCCAGGGCATGTCCCTATCAGTGGGATAAGCTGGGCAGGTACCCCCAGAGCTTGAGGGGTCTGATCCCATACAAGAATTCCTGTGGTGTGCAGGATTGGGTTCCTCAAGCCCCCGGGGAACATCTGCCCAGGCTGCCTGCCCTCTCCCACCACAGAGCAAATAGACATCTGCTGCAATAAAGTGGGACTATTTTACACTACTTTTTGTCAGTCATGGATAGGGCATGACAAAGGTCATGCACCTCTATTTTCTCCCTATCTGAGCCACCTTAAAAAAATGTATGGCGGCACATATGAAATCAGGCAACATCTGTTTCTATCCTTGCTTCCCTCCAACTGAAGATGAGGGTGTAGATATAAAGAACTTGAACCTTTTCTTTAAAGGCAAGCTGATATTTGTCTAATCTCTGCTATTATTTCTAAGCAGTAGGCCTCTGTTTACTCATGCAAAGAAAATGCAAAGGTAATCTCTCACGTCTGTCATTCAGTTTTTACGTATTTAAAATTATCTGTACTATGTTAGTGCCTGTAGGGCCTAACAAAGCTTGAGTCCTACTGTGCTGGGCATTGAACAAACGTAATAAAAAAGAAGTTCTATTCTTATACTTGATATAGACAAGACAGACGGGGAGGGGAGCGGGTGGGCACAAGAACATGATGTCACTTGTCTGAGGGCAGCCATCAGGCTTATGGCAGAGCTAGGAATAGAACTCAGGTCTCCTGCCTCCCTTTCTTAAGTCCTGACCACCAGGACAC